TTTTGTTGGCTCGTTACTAAACAAGTCATGATGGAATATTACATTCTCAATAGCCTGGAGCATCCCAAGGTTTACTCACTGAAACATGGCTGCCAAATAAAATCCAAGAATAGCCAGCTAACCCCGGGACCATCCCCCACTCCTACCGGACCCCATAGCTACAGACAGCTTTTCATGAAGGTGATTATAGAAATCCTTGCAGACAGGAAAGGATTGAACCATAAAGAACAAAGAAAGCTATATGCTGTGGATTAATAATGACACCTTCACCCACTACTTAAAAGAACCGTTATGTGCACGCGCTGCCCATCACAGAGTGCTGGAATAGAAACATTCTGAAGGAAGCGATTTGCTGGTGATTATGGCTTTGAGATAAACACTAGAGCCTCACAGCCAGTAGCTCCACGTGGCTATCCCCCCAGGAATGGGGCTAGCCCTACAGGTTGCAAGAATCATAACTGGGGAAAAAATGGGCTAAATAAAATACAGTAAAATAAATTTCACCTGTTTCTCTTTACATTTTTATGGTGGTTACTAGAAAATGTTGAAGGATGTTCATGGTTTTTGTCTTATTTATACTGACAGTGCTGCCCTAGAGCTTTGGTGAGCAGGTGGGAACAGCAACAAGCCCCGCCCAGTGTCTCCCAAGCCCCTCCTCCGGTGCCAGGGCCGGGGCCAGCGCTCCACACAAATTCCGCCACGGAAGCTTGGGAATGACTCCAGCGTGGGCATTAGTATCACTTCCCTTTTACAGGTGGAAACCGAGGCAGAGAGTCTGAAGACTAGCGCCAGGAGTGCAACCCCACGCAGTTTGGCTTCAGATGGTAAATGGTGTTAATTCAAAAGAGTTGCTCCATTGTTTAAGAAAGAGACAACACTGATACAAAAAAAAATCATGCAAATAAACCTTCCCAATCCACTCCAACTTATTCTTAGGGGGAAAAAATCAAGCATCCAAAAGTAAACAAACTTGCCCGACTGGCTTGGCTCAGGGATTGAGCATCGATTTACGAACCGGTCACAGTTCCATTCCCGGTCCGGGAATATACCTGGGTTGTGGGCTCAATCCCTGGTGTGGAGTGTACAGGAGGCAGCTCATCAATGATTCTCTCTCATCATTGATGTTTCTTATGTCTCTCTCCCTTTCCTTTCCTCTTTGAGATTAGTAAAAATATACTTGAAAAAAACAACAACAAAAGTAAACAAACTGGACATATTTAGACATTTACTGCCTTTCTATAGTGTCCCCAAGAAGCACTAAGATAACATGCACGCTCAGGAAAATGACAGGCAGTGTCACATTTTAAACCACAGGAAGCAACCAGTCCTGGAAAGGGAAGGCTGGGATGGTCTGCAAAGGCCCGCGCACCAGCATTTGAGAGCCTCTGTCCTAGAATAAAGCACATCCCCACCCATGTCCCGTCTGGTCAGGACACAGCTGGCACCTTCCCAATGCACCAGTCCTGCTCTCTGACCTCCGACACCAGGACTGAGTGTCACCATAGTGCCTGGGTGACAAAGCCATGGCCCGGTTTCAGCTTATTAACAATGCGTGTTTAATGAAGCCACACAAGCTACCCTGAGTGCTGGCCCCCGAAGCCCGCGTGTGATTTCATCGGCCACACCGTGTTCAGTTCTAGGTTGTCACACGAGGCGGAGTCAGGGTTCACTGGCTCCGAGCCCGGTTCGAAGGTCCGAGTAGACTCACAAAGGAGAAAAAAATAAAGTAGTTGCTCCTATTTACTCTGGAAGATTTCAAAGAAACCCACATCCTACCAGCCAACAGTCCGCGCCAACCACAATACTTCATGGCGGACATGCTCTCATCCTGGCTGCTTCAGGCACGCAGGGTGTGAGAGAGGAGCGGAGACAGCGAGCGGGATGAAGGATTGGGGACGCCCCCTTTCCGACAGACGCAGACATGGAATTGTCTGCTTGGCTCCTCCAAGTTGGCCAGCTGCCCTTCTGAAATGAACATGTTGTGCTAACTTCAGAAAGAATGTTGGCAGGGCCGGGAGGTCTGCCGCGCCACCGCTGGGACGGCGAATGCCTTCCTTCCCAGGGCGGACACGCTGTGACCTCATGCAGCGGACCGGCAGGGACCCAGCGTGGCCACATAGACACGAGCTGTTTCCTCCCTGGGAGACAGACAGGGATCTACGAAGCTGTGCCTCATCAAGGCAAGTCTTCTCTGAAGATGGTTTATAGTGAAGACACAGGGAGCCGATATGATTCATTTATTTCTTCACAATTTTCTTGAAACAATAATTAATAGCTACAGAGAAGTCGTCTATTGAAAGTCAGAGAGGAAAACTGTCCTCATGTCTTCTCTGAGTGTGTGGGTGGCAGGGAGTTTGAGGGTAAACCAGTCTTAACAAAGAAGAAGGCCCAGTCGCCAAAGATCACAGTGCTTCTAACTGACACATACTTGGCAAGACACAAGCCTAAAACTGGAGACCGCAGTAAAACCCAGCATGCGTCCTATGGCTCCCCACCCTGACAAGCACCGCGCTCTGCCTCTGCCCTTCGCAGGGCCAGGCGTGGCTTTCGTAACCTCCTTATCCCAAGCCTTTATATCTTTGGAGACAAAGCATTTACCTTAATCCACAAAGCTCCTCCCCCAACCCTGGAGATGCAAACATGTGGACTGGAATTTTATTTTGATAAAACGATGCTGGCTTCACCAGTAGGAAGGAAATTCACCTCATAGTTCCTTATCTCCTGGAGGCTGGCAGATCCTGTTCAGAAACCAAATTGCTAGTCCTTCTTTCCTGTAGTGTGCTTTTATTCATTTTAGATAGAGAGAGAGCAGCATCGACCGGCCGCCTCCAGTATGTGCCCTGACCTGGGACGGAACCCACAGCCTGGGCATGTGCCCTGACCAGGAATCGGATCGGCGACCTTTCGGTGCATGGGATGATGCTCAACCAGCTGAGCCACAATGGCCAGGGCACTAGTTCTTCTTTTTTGATAAGAGCAGAATTAAAAGAAAAAACTCTGACAGTTAAATGTTTGCTAATGGCAGTGAGGCCAAATACATCTGCTTGGCCTGGGCCCACGCCACCTAACTCCTCAGTGAGATCTGGTGTCTCTCCTGCACAAACTGCTCCTCTTACCCCCAGGGGCAACCCTCACATCCTAGGAAGTGACTGCTGATTTATTCACATCGGGCACATGGCCTGAGACCCGCCAACTCGTTGGTTGGCCACTGTCTACCGGACCTATCTTCCTGCATACGATCTGACTAAGATCCAGACTGCTGTCAGCTGGTCACTAACCATTGAGTTGAAAGGTCAACCAAATTGGGAAAGAAAAAAAAATAAAACCTGGAAGAGAAGGAACCAGAATTTTGCAAAAGTACCGAATCGCAAAGCCATAGCAGAAACGCCAAGATGTAAGAGCCTGCGTGGCCCCTGAGCGAGTGAAGCATGAACCTCACTTGCTAGTTATATTCCTGGTCAGGATGGCTTCAGGATCCCCCCACCATTGCTTCCTGAAAATACTCCCTCCACATGAGCTACCCCTGAAAGGGGTTTCTGTTTCTTATTCCAAAAGAGACCTGACCAGCACACCAACTACCCCTACTCCCTATTCCATCCTCTGCTCTTGGAAAATCTTTGGACTCTTTACCAGGCCCGTCAGGCTCATAACCTTGTCGCCGGTGTCCTCAGTTATATTGCTGATATTATCACACCATTCCCAAGCCTCACGCTTCCCTGTGCTACATCCCTACCGCTGGCTGTCAGGCTCTGGGGAGGCGTTTCTAGGAACAGCCAGATAGGAACCTCCCGTTTTTAGACATTGCTGATCAACGGCTTCAATGCCTTTCTTACACATCCTTCCCATTGTTCCTGGCTCTATTTTCTGGAATTATAGAGAAGAAATCGATGCTTCTGCTACCTCAGTGTAGGCTGCCTTCTTTGGCGACTAAGATAATCCCTCTGAGAGCTTTCCCCATTCATCTCTTATTCCTGATGAGGTGACTTCAAGACCCCTCACTCCCCTGGAGGCTCCTCTTCCTCTGACATTGCCCCCAACCCCATGTCCATTTCAGCAATTCCTGCCCACAGTTATCAGCAGCCTAAATTCAGCTTCCTATGGAAACTGCCCAGGCCATACTCAGAGATAAGCAGTTCAGTGTCGAGGTTAGCAGCATGGGTTTTGAAATCAGAAAAAGTCAGGCTTGGTTTCTGGCTTCAACATTCATGAACCATGAATACCGGGGCATGTTACCCATCTTTCCACACCTCAATGGCCTTATGTGTCCAATCTTAGTGTCAAACCCACCTCTCAACATTGTTTTGCAATTAGATGGAACATATGTAATGTGTTTAGTGGCGTGATTGGCACACAGAGAACTCCATCAAGGGCGTTTTCCTCTTCTTTCTTCATGTATACAAATATCTCCCTTTCCTGAATGCTGGGTAGGGTGAGCGGTTCTGAGCATGACCTTAGGGATTAGACGCCATGGCTTGGTAATCGGCGTGTGACCTTGGGCAAGTAACTGCACTTCTGTGTCTCTCCTCTGTGAAGTGGGGACTAACAGTAGCTACCCCATGACACTGTTGTTCATAAGGATGAAATGTGTTACCACATGTCAGGGGCGTAGACGAGTTCCTGGCACAAGATCCCATCACCACTGAGGAGAGCTGTTAGCTGCTTGAAGTCGAAATACCGTCCGATTTCATGCCTGCACGCCTCTTAGCTAGTTAATTTACAGCTGAAAAACCATGTTTTAAATTTTAGAATTCTTAGTTCCAAAAACATGTTTGTTGGAAAGAATGAATCAGCGAGGATCAGAAGATCCAAAAAATTAAAAAAAACAACAAATCCTATCTAGCAACGTCAGATAGTTAAGACAACACAAAACAAGCAAACAAACACAGAAGCCCCCCGTGGGGGCCGGATGTCTACCTGGTGGTAAGAGATGGGGACGGGCTTCCGGAAGACTATCCACTCCACGATTTCGCTACACGGAGGGGTGGTCAGAGAACCCGTGTACCGGTAGTAGCTGCCCAGGGATGCAGGCAGGAGGTCCCGGAGCACGAAAGGATCCAGGAAGGTCTCCTTCTCTGTTTGGGGGAAGAGGCAAAAGAAAAGACAACGGTAAGTCGTAGCGTGCTGCAGACCCACAGGCAGACCCCTGCATGCTGGCGCCACATCTCAAGCTTGTCTGCTCACCTCCCGGAGGCACAGCGCTGGTGGTGGGAAAGCCCCGGACACACAGCAGCGGGTCCCGGGGCGTGTCCTCAGGGCTGCACTGCGTCTCATGAAAACAGGTTCCATGATGAGCAATGCTCCCCAGGAAATGGGCACCCCAGCACAGTGAAGTCTCTGAGCAGCCCCGAGAGAAGCAACAGGCTTGACTGTGTTTAACCCAAACCCTCACAATCTCATCTCACCAGAGAGCCCCTCTCTATACAGTACTTTAGGACGAATAACCAGAGGGGCAAACGTCAGGGCACCCATGAGAGAACCGGGGGGAGAAAGAACTGTGAGTCAGGGTGCAGCTCCAGAGTCGGTTACATCACTTTGCTCTCACCCAGGGCCTGGGGAGATGGAAGTGAAACCTAACCTAGGAACGACCCAGAACTTACAAAGTGGTGGCCCTGGCAGTAGGCTTCTTTCTTGTACAAAAGTGGAGGGGAAGGGTCTTCACTGATGTAGAAGAAATGACCTATTTCAGCTGGGACCCAACACTGATCCCTCACAGTCACTGTGAGGAACAGGCACAGAAGGGGTGAGTACCTCCCCAAGGTCACAGAGCTTCTACAGGGCAAAGCTGGGGTCAGAGCAGAGGCAGGGGGGCCCCGGAGCTTGCACGGTCTGACTCAGCCAAAGGAGTTGAAGTGAGCTAGGTGCGTGTTGAAGGGTGGGGGCGGGAGAGGAGAAAGCATTTTAGGCCTTGGAACAGCATGTGTGAAGGTCCTAATGCAGGAAGGAACAGTGCAACATAGCTGAGAGCTCAGTGTTGTAATTCTCCCAATCAGGCTCCCCGATCATCCAGCTTCTTTCACAAACCAGAGAAAGTTCTAGTCTCCACCTGAGGCTGCAGAGGTCTAGCCCTGACCTGAGTTTAAGTCTGGGGTGTGTTCCTCATCCCTTTTAGGCTACTGCACCTGCGAATGTCTTGCCTTAACTCCATACTGGCCTCCACCCTCCCTGGACCCCAGCACATTCCTGGGGGGCTTCAGGGACCCAGGTTACTTCATGGACACACCTGTGCCTACAGGAACATTCGTCCCAAGCCTCATGCCTCCTCCCTCTTCTTTCTTACGGAACAAATTGTGCAGGTTTTGGGGCAAATGTGTATTCCTAAACTCAAGAGGCCTAGGTAACTGGGAATGATACAAAACCCCCAATAGAAACAGACTACATTAGAATAATTAAAATTATATTTCCTCTTAGTAGAAATTAGTCGAACACAACATTTACTAAATGCCAGGCTCTAGTCTGAGTTATTATTTATTTACTTATTTTATTTTTTAAAAAATATATATTTTATTGATTTTTTTTTTACAGAGAGGAAGGGAGAGGGGATAGAGAGTTAAAAACATCGATGAGAGAGAAACATTGATCAGCTGCCTCCTGCACACCTCCTACTGGGGATGTGCCCGAAACCAAGGTACATGCCCTTGGCTGGAATTGAACCTGGGACCTTTCAGTCCACAGGCTGACGCTCTATCCACTGAGCCAAACCAGTTAGGGCTCTAGTCTGAGTTTTTATATGTTGAGCACATTTAAACAGCACTTCCTGTATGTGCCAGGCACAGGTCTGAGTATAAAGACTAATTTATCTAATACTTAAAACAGCCCTGTGAAGTGGTTCCTATTATTTATTACTAACGATTTACACAGCTGGAATGCAGAACCAGGCAGCTCAGAATCCAGGCTTCCATTCTTCTTCTTCTAAAAAGATTTTCAATTGATTTTTAGAGAGGATGGGGACATTTTTGGGCTATCTTCTGCACGCCCCCTACTGGGGATTAAAGCCTGCAGTCCAGGCACATGCCCTGACCAGGAATCAAACCGCAACTTTTCAGTGCATGGAATGATGCCCATCCAACTGACCCACACCACCGGGGAGGCTTCCATTCTAATTAACCATCACTGCACTCTTGCTTTACAACCCTGTAAAATACATACTTTTAACATAACCATTTCACACCCGTGGAGACGAGGCACCGAGAGGTTCAGTAACTACAGCCAAAGGAGCTGCAGTTATCCATGAGGCTCAGAAACCTTGGCTTGGTTCTGGCATGGGTTTTCAATTCTCTTCTCTGAAGGAAATATTAAATATTAACCATCAAGGCAAAAGTCCTCAAATTACAGGGCTCCATAATCGAACGACAAAAGCGGTTTCTGCTCGACAAAAGGCCGGGCACAGTGGGATTGTCCCTGTGCCCACTGGCAAGGCTGGGCTTTAATTTAAACCTGGTTCCCGCCGCCTAATGATGGGGATCCCCACAAGCGCGCTTGGCTGGGACTGCCGGCCTAAAGCAGGAAGTATTTTGGCATCTGCTTGTACTTCTGGGCTGTGGAAGCAACGGAGGGTGCACAGGGCTTGGCATTGAGGCCAGAAAATCACCACCTTTGTTTCTCCCTCATGTTGAAGGTGAACGTGGCTTCGCAGCACAGCACACCACCTGCCTCAGGATCAAGGGCTCAGGTCGGAAGGAGCAGAACATCTTTAGTTTTCCCAGGGGTCTGACCCTATCTAAGGGCTGCAGTTAAGAACGCCGCAGGCAGACGGGGAGTGAGCAAAAGTCCCGGCAAGCCACACCGAGGCAAAGCCCCATGAAGCACCCACATGAGGAAGAGGCCAGGCTTTAAAGAACATAAAAGCTACAGCAGAAAGGCCTGTGCTGCCAGTCTCAGGGGCTAGATTTCAAAGGAACCCTGTCCCCGTATGGGCCTGTGACTTCAACAGGGACACATGGAAACTGCGGCCGTGACCACTGCTATGGATATGAAGGCTTCTCTATCCTTGACCGACAAGGGCAGGTGCTGGCTTTACTGGTTAGAAGGTGGATTAGATGGGTGGGCAGGCGGGCAGACCTGGCGAAGGGGCACAGAGAGGTGGCTTTGTTCCTGTTCGTTCTACTACCGTCTACCACTTGGATCTCAGAGCTCTGAGACCCGGAAGGTCCCTAGTTCAATGGCTTCAGGAGCGAAAGCCCTCTTTTTCAAACAAAATCCACGCAGGAGCTGGGCACCTCCGACGCTGAACGTGCAGCCACCCAGGCTGAAGCTGAGCTGGGAGCCCAGGATACTGAAAAGCACCACTTTGGTCTAATTCTTTAATTTTACTGCTAGGGAAGTGGAAGACCGGGGTGAACTAATGGAGC